TTTGGACAATAATTTTTCCTTATCGGACATGAAGGACAGTACTTCAAATTTAAAAGTTTAGTGCTCCCAAAATGCTGCTCTTCTTCATTACTTTGAAGTAATGCTAGTGAGTCTAAGATCCAGATCTACATGTTAATCTCTAGTTTTGCCTTCAAACAGAATTCAGTTACAAAGAACTTGGAAAGATTTTGAATCTATTCAGAAGATGAAAACTCTTTAATTTTCTGAGGAGTAAAAATTCCCCAAGAAACTTCATATAGCTTCTTAGATTTTGCTTAGCATACGTGATAAAACATTGATTGTTGCAGTTTGGTGACCCATGAAATTTGGGGGTTAGTTTTCTCTTCAGACCAGAGCATATAATTATGCAAATAAAGAGCTGTCACTGATCTAGTGAAATACTCACAAACACATGCACTCTGAAATTGGACAGAAAAGTGAAAATGGTTGGTGATGTGATGGTGCCATGGTTTGTTTTCCTGCCAAGTTTCTATCCAAGTTCATTATTCAAATTGTAAACTTTTAAAAGAGACATATCATTCTTTGGGTGTTGGCTGTCTTTTCATTTCAGATTCTTTGTATTGGTATTGCAGGCTGGCTACAAAGTACAGTTCAACATTATTTTACCTATGACAGTTTCCCATATCACCCAAAGTAATAGCCAAAGAGGAAAAAGCTGAATGATTTGGAAAGATGGATGCAGGGTCTCTCTGGATTTCTTTCCAGAGACATGTTTCATGCCTGCTTCAAATAGAATTCCAACAATACAAAGAATATAGTCAAAGGTTTTTCACAAACCCAAGGCAAAGGATGGCGGAAAGTTGCCTGCAAGGCCTAACGGATTAAGTCAAATTTCCCCCTTTCAAACATTTTACATTCCAGGAGAAAATACTGGTCACTGTGTGATGTCCACTTAATGGTCAAACTTTCAGGAGTACTTTCTCCCGTCTAGCCAATTAAAGCTAACTATATATTTGGTGACTTTAACCTTGTGGTTCATTTACAATTACTATTCCTCTAAACCCTTGTGCTAAGACATAACAAGTGTTCTTCAATTTAATCATGCTCTTTGGCATTGAGGTCTCCTAATTCCAAAGTTACCATTGCACAGGCTGTTGCATAATTTTAGATGTCATGGAGAGTCCCACTGATGAAATCTGAGAAGGCTCATGTCAGACCACTGACTGCTAAAGACATCACTACATGAAAGATCAGTGGTGTGAAACTTTAAAAACATCGATCCAAATGAATCAATTAAATCAACATTCATCCCTCCTAAGTATGAGGTTTAAGACTATCATTGTTGCTTTTTTTTTTTAAACTCTACATAGATTTTGAGATAAACGCTGGAATGCTTTGATGGTTATTTCTATTCTCGAATCTCCGTTAATCGACTTTGTGCTATTTCCCTCTTTTCAACATCTTCCACTTGGTGTACATTCTTTTAGTACAGTGCATGACAGTTGCAATGCTTTAAATCTAAAACCTCCTAACAAAGCTATGTTTTAGGTAGGGTAGCTTTAAGCTCTGTGAAGTGTTGATTAAAAACCCTTTCCCAGACTCAAACTGATCTTTTTGGAGATTAATAGAATATTAGATAAAAGGAAGACGAACAATTCAAGAGACTCCCACTCAGTCACTCTATACAAGGAAGGAAGGAAAGTATTCAATTTTTGAAAGAGAGCACCTCCTGGAGTCTTTTATTTTATATTATTACAGTCCCTAATAAGTAATCATAAAACAACCACCACCATTATCCTTTTTTTTTCACCCATATTTCAAAGATGAGAATTTTTCAGACTTTCTGTAATAATCATCTTTCTTAAATCAATTAGGATGACAGATACCAACAGGAATCTGTCAATTTACAGTACAAACTATGATTATAACAGGAGACATACATGTGTTTGGATTAACTCCACATAATCCAGAGAAACATGGGGAAAAAAAAAAAAAAAAAAAACCTAACAGAGCCCTAATAATTAACAGCTTGTTACCATCATCCTCTTAGAAGAGTTACAAGGTTCTAAGTTAGAAATAGCTGTAAAATAAATGTAAGGAAGTTACTTTCAGATTGGATATATAATATATCAAGAAATTGGGAGCAATTTTATCTTACCAGACTTTTCTAGGAGAACATATTTATTAATAATATATTAAAGTTTATTTTATAAAACCATAGTTTCACAATGGGTACTTCAAATTGAGAGATATTTTAGATATTAAGAAAAAATGTCCTTAAAAAATGTTAGCTTTGAGAAAGGTGCATGCCAAATAGTGACCAATTCAAGTTAGGATATTACCACTGCAACAACAATAATAATAACAAAACACCGATGATGTTTAAAACTTTGACAAATGTTGTCTCACTATCCTTCTTAAATTTCTACTTTTATTAACCTCCATCTAGTTGGTGAATAAATGAACTCTGAAGCAAGAACAATACACCACTGCTTGTTGGAAAATTTTATTTATTTAAAAATGATAAACAGAAATATATGATAAGAAACTCCTGTGCTTTTACCTATTTTTTATATAAACAATAATGTAATACAGGTTGAAGCACAAGGCAGACACTTGAGAAAAGAACAATTATTACAAGCAGATTTTTTTCCCCCTTCAGATATCCATGAAAACTTTTTAAAGACTGACCAAATCCCATGGTGAGTTACCTTTGGAAAGCTCCAAAGCAGTATCTGGGCTTTAAATTTTGATAAGACTATTTTGAACCTAAAATTTATCAATAACTCCTTCCTTTCCATTCCACTTGGTCTAAGAACTAAATATATAATTAAAACAAAAAGCTCAGATCTTAATTTTAAATCTCTACTCTCCCCAAAGCCTATATCTAAAGAAACAAAAATGGGGAGGAGATCAACAGAGTAGAAATACTGTTAACATCTGGCCGCCCCAAAGCAGGCAGGCTACTACCAACGACTAGTTGTTATTCCAGGAAAACCGAGGTGAACAATATTGTTACATTTACATCAACAGGTTAAAAAATCCTACATTACAAGAAAGTCTGATGAGTTATCAGTTGGTGGTCTGGGATGGTTTGTTTAGCTCTCTCCTGGTTGCCACAGCTCAGATCCACAAGTAGAAACTACATTTACACAACTTAAGTTTGCAAATAGCTCTCTACAGATATTTAAACAAGCCTTAACAAACCAGTAGTTTTAAAATATTAAAGGCAATCAAACAATGATTTACTCTAGTTAGAAATAAAGGTTTTTAAAAGAGAGGTGAGAAAATAGAAGACAAGGAATAGAAGGATTTGGTTTATAAATTGAGAACATTTACTTGTCTTTAATTCAGGCGCAGAAGCTTCATGAATTCAGCATAGCACTAGGACTGATTTTGAAAAAAATGCTGTAAAATCAGTTTCCTGTGAACATTTTCCCATATGATTTATAATACTTTGAAAAATATATTCAATATACATAAATTCTCACAACCTCTCATTGGAATATACCATTATTTTACAGAGTTCACTCTTCCAAAATAGGAAAGATCAGGTCAATGCCACAGCCCAATGTGCTGGACACTGTTGGTGTTACATATTTTTAAATCATCCAAGAACTGGATAAAATGCATTTTGATTTTCCTCCTATATCGTTTCTGCTTAAATACAATCAAAAGATAAGCAGACATGACCACTGAAAAAAGATCATTTTAATTTACCGTCATTAAAACTGTAAGAACTAATTAATGTACTTGTATGCCAAACACAGCATGAGATAGCAGTTTTAAAACTTGCTGAAATCACTTTATAATATAAAAACATTTATCCATGAGGTGGCTGATTTTAAGGTATTTTCTGAAGTGGTAGACAGTTTCAAATCCTTTAAGTACATTTTTATCATGTCCTCAAATAAGGTAGGCATATTAACTGTTGCAAATCCTTTTAAAAAGGATGAGAAGTATTAAATCCAGGCCCTTGCCTATCAGAAACAGAATCTTCACTGTGTAATTCTTCAAGTAATTAAAAATTGACAATGTTAAAATTTACTATTTGGGTAAAACCTCAACTTAGTTTTTCACAGTGTTGGTCAGAACATTAAAATACTTAATTGTTGAAAAGGTAGGGCAAAACCCTACAGAGCGAGTGGAATGCTAAAGACTGAGAGGAGAAAATGTTTCACACCAGGTCTCTCTCCCTTGGAGAAGACTAAAATAATTATTTTAGTTCCATTAAGTCTTTCAGAAAGAAAAGACTTCTGAGTACAGGTTCATTTTCCTGATGACCATAAACAATTCTATCCTTGAAAGGCCTAACTCCATTAAAGCTCAAAATAGATCATTCTCCTTAGGATTAACCATAACAGCAACAGCAACACCGAACTTTCACCATGTAAAGATTTAAAAAGCAAATCTGAAACGTGTTATCTAAATTACAATTCCACTCAAACACGCATTATATGTTTAAAAAGTCAAGTCAATGCTAATGATAAAGCTAGAGATTCCATTGAAAATGGGCCTTTTCACACATATACTTAAAAGATCTGCTCATCATTATGTTTTGGTTTAAAAAGTGTCTTTCTGTAATTAGAGACTTTCGTAAAATCTCATATTCAACTGGCAAGGATTTTCAGTGGTAATGTGGATTTGATAACTTTATAGATTTTTATGCACAGTTTTTCTTCTGGTCTCAAAATGAAAATAGATCGTTAGGCAGAGAACAATTTGCACTCCCCAAACTACACAGCACATTATGGCATTTGTGTTCTCAATTTAAATTTGGCCTTTGGGCGGGGGGAGGGAACAACTTTAAAAAGAGAGACATACATGCCCTTAGGGGGAAAATAAAATCTATTTAAAACGGAAGCTTGAAGTTTAGAGTAAGAGTCTGCTTTCTTCAGAGGGGGAAAAAAAAAGAACATGATTAATGGCGAGAAAAAAAAAAAACAACAACAAAACAACCCAGTGGGTGCGTTGCAGTGGGCGGTAGGACCGCGCAGACGCCGCTAGCCCCGCAACGCCCGCGCGGGCTCAGTCAGGGCAATTAGAGCCTCGCTGGCCGCGCCGGGTAGGGCGCTGTCAGCCTTAATCTGCGCGCTGACGGGCAGTCCGAAGCCCGAGCTCAGCCCGCAGGAAGCACGACCAGTGAACCCATATTGCTTTGACAGTTGCACTCATCTAGAAATAATGCAAAACGCTATTTAGATGTATATATCACGACCCGGTGCTCTAGGAAGAAAACAATCTAATGAGGGGCTGGGAGTCTGCTCGCCTACAACAAGCAGTTGGGAGACGTGTGGATGCATGCTCGAGTGTGGTTCCTTCTCTTCCCCTCCCCCGTCTCGCTCGCTCTCCTCTTACAACTCTTCGTGCTTTATTCTGTGGGAGCGTCGCGTCAGAGCCGGCTTGAGGGAACTGGTCTTTGCCTCAGAGGCTTCGGTAAAGAATTTGAAAATGGATGGGAAGCTCTTCCAGGAAGTTAGCTCGTGACGATCGGTGCCTGCAAAGAGCGAAGAATCGGTTATGAAGTGGTTTTGCTTGGTGCCAGGCGCAGGTGGGATGGGGAAGCCAGGCAGAAACCAGGAAACAGGCCGCCCTCTGCCTCGGGCTCCGCCCCTCGCACCCAAGTCCCACAAGTCGGAGTCCCTCTCGCCCGAGCCTAGCCCCCGCCCCACTCCCGCTTTTGGTGCTAGGGCCCACGCGAGCCCTGGCCTCAGCGCTCTGGGCCCATCTCACTCCACCGCCGCGCCTTCCTTGCGGGCGCGCGTCTCCAGGCTCGTGACGACTGGCAGGCGAGGCCCGGACCGTTGCGCGTCTGCCGGAGCCGAGCGCGTGCGGCCTTCGGAGAACTCCCCACAGCACCCTTCCACCTGAGGGCTTACTTAGGCCCCCAAGGCTCAGGGGAATCAAGATCTCCTCCAAATTCCGCGTTTCCGCAAGCGGCGTCTCAGGGCGGAGACCTGGGGGGTCTCAGGCCGCCTCCTGTTTGAGCCGCGGTTACGCCGCAGAAGCGCGGCTGCGGCCGGGACTTTCCCCGCGGGTCGCCTTAGGCGCGTCCCGGCGCCCCACGCTGCCCTCAGCCTCTCCGGGCCAATCGAGGCGTTCGGCGGGAAAGGGCCCCTCCCTCTCCCGCCTCGAAATCACCCACCTCCCCAGGCTCGGCGGCGTGCGCGGGGATTGGTTTCCCCTGCGGGCGGGATCTGGCTTCTACATCCACCCCCGGAGTTTTTTTGCTTCCCAAGAGGGGGGCTGGAAATCGGACTTTTCCTGCCTCTCCCGGAAGCTATGCTGTTAGATATGATTGCCTCAGAGAAGTCACTGGATGCTTAATAAGGGACTAGATTCAAAAGAGACTATGGCTTGAGGTGTTCTAGCACGTTACATTTTCACAGACTTCAGGGGAAAGTCTTAGAAAACGGAAAATAATAATAATAATAAAAAACAGCAAAAAACAGTGACAACTGAAAGAGCATCTACCCATTGCAGTCCAGTCGATACCCACTCATATCCTATACGACAGCGTAGAACTGCCCCATAAGGTTACATAGGCTATAATCTTCACCGGAAGGAGCCCTGGTGGCAAAGTGGTTAAGCAAAATTGGATGCTAACCAAAAGGTTGGCTGTTCAAACCCAACAGCCGCTCTAAGGAAAACCCTCTTAGGGGGAGTTCTAGCCTGTACTTTAGGGTCGCTAGCTATTGAGTGGGAATCAACCGGAAGGCAATGGGTTTGGTTCTTTTGGTTTGGGAGTCTTTAGGGGAGCAGACTCCCACATGTCTCCCGTGGAGCCGCTCGTGGGTTCTAACCTCCAGGCCTATTTTGCCAGCAGTAATTCAACTTAAAAAACACAGATGGTCAATTTACAGTGCTCTTTTATTTTACTAAAGCTTCGTTGTGTGGCTTCCATTTAGTACTAATGTACAGTATTTTCCAAATAAAATCTACCCTCAGTTTAACACAGGAAGCAAATAACATTGATGCAGTCATAAGAATAGATGAAGAAATTCACCTGTTTTTCATTCCCTGTGATAGTTTATAAACTCAAAATCATTTTACGAATAGCTTGGTAACTCTGGGCATTTTTAAAATTAAAAAAACAAAAATAATAATTGAGAAAACTGTCCCATAGAAATAATGAATGAATAGCTTTGAAAGAGTTGAAATTTTTCTTCCTAGATCTCCCAATTATGCAGAGATGCTGCCTGGAAGTCTCCAGATTCAGGGCCTCTGTCTGATACTTTAACATTGTTAATGATAATTCTTTAGTCTGTAATAGTAGGTCATTGCTATGGTTACTCTACAATGGTGCAACACTTTGCTTTCCCCTTCAGCTATTCGCTGAGACCTGGTAACCACATTTGTTGCCTAGCAACAGTTTTGTGACAGTATCACAATCTGGGAGTTACAACAATAAGGATGCTATGGCTGTGGTCTGCCAGAAAGTGGAAAGCTACAGCCTGTGCCTGTGACTTAGCTGTGGGAGCTGGCCCTAGCACAGAACCCAGCTCAGAGAACCCTCTCTTTATAGGTGTCTTCACAAGGATGCTCTCTATTCCCCTCTCCTCTGTACACTGCCTCTTTGACTCCTATTTGGAACTAAGATCCAGTGTTAAAGTCATGTCCTGAGAAATATCCCCCAATGTTACTGTATTTAGACTAAAAATGAAGTCATTTCTCTATTTGTTTACTCATTTTGGGCTAATTCAATGCTATTCAGTGGGAGGGAGGGATGAATATAGGCTTATCTTGGCAAATCCTGACTGGATTTTGGCAAGTTTTGATAGAATTCTTGGAAAAAATTATATATATGCCCGACTGCATCAATAGGTGTGTTATATTTAAGTTCTTAAAAGTATGCACAATGTCCAGGTTATTATTTTTACTAATTTATTCTAATGAGTTCTTAGGAATTGTTTTGAATTTGAGACATTTATATTCTCCAAACCTAAATAAGAAGTTTCAGATAAACTCAGACATGCTTACACTAAATATTTTGTGAATATATGTAGAAGGGTCCAGTTTCTGGATAGGTATATGAAATGTCTGTCTGTATTTCTATAGAGCTTGTAATTCTAGTTCTCTTTCAGTAATAGCTACTGATTGCATTTCTGAGTGACAAAATATTTAAAAATCAAGTTGTTATTTTTCCTTTGTGAAAGATTGTTCTCAAATGCATACTATATGGCAATGCCCACCCTCAACACAATTACCCCCCTCCAAAAAAAAAGGTGTTAATGGTGTTGTCTCTTTTCCTTCCCATTTTCTGTGCTTCCAGCCTCATTAGGGATTCCCTCCATAGTGTTTCCACTTACATCTACTAATGTTTCCAAAGCTATGATCAGTTTGTAAGCTTTCTTGGGGAAATCGTCTTTAACTCATACTACCCCTTAAAAACCAATTCAAGATATAAATTGAAAGAGACCTAAAGAAAATACCATGGACTGCCAGAAAGTAAAAGAAAATCTGTCCTAGAAGAAGTGCAGTCTGAATGCCCCTTGCAAGTGAGAAGGGCCAGACTTGTCTCACCTACTTTGGTCATACTGTCAGAAGGAACCATTCCCTAGAAAGGGATATTGTGCTTGGTAAAGTGGAGGGTCAGTGAAAAAGGGGAAGGCCCTCAACTGGATGGATTGACACAATGGCTGCAAAGACGGGCTCAGATATATAGCAAGGATTGTACAGATGGCACACGATTGGGCAGTGTTTCGTTCTGTTGTACATAGGGTCACTATGAGTCAGAGCTGACTTGATGGCACCTAACAACAACAACAACAACAAAGAGTCAATGGTCTGAAGCAATTTTAACTTCTTTATTTTTTCTCTTGATGACAATCTTTCTGAAGGATGAACAAATTTCCCTAGTGATAAATTCTCTATAGAGGCTTTTTAATTTAGGTTATGATGACCTTTGTGTGATTAGTCCTGGGCTGAAAAGACCAAAATCCTTGAGATAACTGGGTAACAGGCTTTCAATATTTACCCTTGCAATTTAAGAGTATACATAATAAGATAGATGCTTTTGTTAGAGGAAGGGAACTTGCTAGGGGTAAAGGTAATCAATGGAGCCTGGGTGGTGCAATGCTAAGTGCTCAGCTGCTAACCAAAAGGTTGGCAGTATGACCCCACCAGCTGCTCCATGGGAGAAAAGACTCAGTGATCTCCTGTAAAGATTACAGCCAGGAAACCTTATGAGGCAGTTCTGTTCTGTCTTACAGGATAGCTCTGAGTGGGAATCAACAGCACCCAGTAACAACAAAGGTAATAAGCAAGGTGGATTAGAAGCTCAATTACAAAGAATGCGAGAGGGGATTCCCCACATCTTTCTCCCATGGACCAGCTGGTAGTATAGAACCACTGACCAGTTTGTTAGCAGTTAAGTGCTTAACTACTGTGCCATCAGAGCTCCTAAATTAAGGAATAGTATCATGCATATTCTGCCACATATTTCGCTTTCTTTTCTGAACTACTGGAAGTATATTTTTAATAATTTTAAAAATAGTATCTGGAAATTAGATTATTGCATGTTCAGCTGGGCCTGCATATATACATTTCAAGGACATCTTTGGAGACCATTTTAGATAAATTAGGGTCAAAATTCAATAAAAATATTTACAAATCAATATGAAAGTCAACTCATAGCAATGTAAAGTGAATGGAAACTTCTGAGAGCAACTTTCTATTAAATTAAAATTATTTTTTGAGAGAACTTAAGAATGGTCCTTCTTTTTCTATCAGCAAAAACACTCTAGGCCATTAACTTATCTATTCATAAAAGGATATAAAAGGTAAAGTTTAGGACAATCAAAAAAGCAGCCATTTATTAATGAACTACAAAGATGTGGGAGTAACAGGGAAACTAGTCCATTTAGCACTAACCATGTAATCTGGCCAACTGACTGGAAGAGATCCATATTTGTGCCCATTCCAAAGAAAGGTGATCCCACAGAATGTGGAAATTATAGAACAATATCATTAA